TTAATATTCACATAGATAATGCAGAAATCAAAACTACAAAAGAAATTATATCTGTTTTAAACACTTTTTAAACTGATTCAGCATGTGCATGGACCCACACACAATCGTGGACACACTCTAGATTTACTCATCAGTAGAGGTCTAAACATTTCATCCATTGTTATTAAGGATGTAGCACTATCTGATCACTTCTGTATTTTCTTTGATATATTGATCTCTGCTACCACTGAATCTAGGTCTGTCTCTGTCAGAAAGAGATGCATTAACAAAAACACTAGTTTTCTATTTATGGAGGCTATATCTTTAACACCAAGCATTTCTGCAGACTCTGTTGATCTTCTCCTTGATTCCTTTAACTCAAAAGTTAAGAATGTTATTGATGACATTGCTCCTTTGAAAGTCAGCAAGAAGACTGGTGATGATATTGCTCCTGTAAAAGTCAGTAAGAAGACTGGCAGACAACAATCACCTTGGAGAAAATCAACAGCAGTTCAGAGTATGAAAAGACAATGCAGAAAAGCTGAGCAGATGTGGCGGAAGACGAAACTTGAAATTCACTATAGCATCTATAAAGACAGCCTTCATGCTTTCAATGTGAAACTAGCCACAGCTAGACAGACCTGCTTCTCAAACCTTATAAACAGTAACTTAAACAATACTCGTACTCTTTTTGCTACTGTTGAGAGACGGACAAACCCGCCAAGTCAGATTCCTAGTGAAATGCTCTCCGCCAGCAAATGCAATGAGTTTGCTTCCTTTTCTGAGAAGATCAATAATATCAGAAAGACGATTAACACATCCTCAAGTTATGCAGAGGTCAAACCAATTCGACCGCAATTTCAAAAAGAAGTTACTATGTCTGTTTTTAAAGCAATTGACAGCAAAAGTTTGGAAGAAATAGTACAGCCCCTTAAATCATCAACCTGCTATCTTGACACACTTCCCACATTTTATTTCAAAAGTGTGCTTAACTGTTTAGAAGCAGATCTCTTAGAAGTGGTGAACGCCTCACTTCTTTCTGGGACTTTTCCAAAATCCCTGAAAAATGCAGTTGTTAAGCCCCTTCTGAAAAAGATCAATCTTGATAACACCATATTGAGCAACTATAGACCAATATCAAATCTTCCTTTTATAGGCAAGATTTTTGAAAAGGTAGTTTTTAAATCGGCTGAAGAACTACTTAAACTCAAATGGATACCTAGACAATTTTCAATCTGGTTTCCGACTGCATCACAGCACAGAGACAGCGCTCATTAAGATAATAAATGATATTCGCTGTAATTCTGATTCTGGCAAAATATCAGTGCTGGTACTACTAGATCTTAGTGCTGCGTTTGACACTCTCGATCATAACATACTTATAGAGAGACTGGAAAACTGGGTCTGGCTTTCTCGGATGGTACTCAAATGGTTCAGGTCATACTTAGAAGGGAGAGGTTATTATGTGAGTATAGGAGAGCATAAGTCTAAGTGGACGTTCATGACATTCGGAGTCCCACAAGGCTCAATTCTTGCACCACTCTTGTTTAGCCTGTATATGCTCCCACTAAGTCAAATAATGAGAAAGAACCAAATTGCCTATCACGCTGATGATACCCAACCTTATCCCCAAATGACTACAGGAAACAAAGATGAAGTTGTCAAGGTGAATGCATACCTTGACTCTAGGGGTCTAACAACTAAAAATCAAGTCAGGAATCTTGGTGTGATTCTGGAGACAGACCTTAGTTTCAGTAGTCATGTCAAAGCAGTAAATTTAATGTGCATCTTGTCAGTAAAGCCATTCTGTAATCAGCGGTAAATCTCCATCACATGCGGGCTTTCACATGGAGAAGCATTTACTACACAGAGCCGTTGTTCACTGACAAGCTGCGCAAAACATGCTCAAAATATGATCGTGGTTTTGCGCAGCTTGTCAGTGAACAATGGCTCTGTGTAGTAAACGCTTCTCCATGTGAACGTGATGGAGATTTACCGCTGATTACAGAACCGGCTTTACTGACAAGATGCGCGTTAAATATCACATGTGATTTATCGTGCAGCCCTAGTGTGTAGTAAACAAAACAGTGTGCCGCGCCATCCGCCATTCATAGATTGCGGAAATCATGGTGCCTTATGCGTGATATCAAATGCTTCTGCAGATTTATTGTATTACTATTGCATTTCACCTGAGCATTGCGAATCACGCGTATGGCCATGATAAGTGGTGAATGAATGACAGGCTTTCTGTTGTAACATCGCGCAAGGTAAATAAGGGTGACATCTAGTGGAGAAGACTAATGATAAGATTCACGTTAATCAGATCTTATTTTAAATGTGTACTGAAATAAATCCCGGAAAAGATCGATTTTGAGAATCGATATCGAATCGACATCATTTAAAAAAACGATTAATCGAAAAATCTATTTTTTTGCCCAGCCCTACTCAAAACACATCTGTTTAGCTGTGCATTTATTGAATGAGCACTGTGCTACGTCCGAACTGATTGCACTGTTTTATATATAATGATTTCCTATTGTTAACTGTTTTAAATTCATTTTAAATTAAAAATTTTAAAGGGGTCCTATTATGCTTTTTCACTTTTTTAATTTTAGTCAGTGTGTAGTGTGTATGTTTGGGCATAAAAAAGATCTAGAAAGTTACAAATCTCAAAGTCC